TAATAAATTTTTAAACACAACACACATATACATACACATGAAATATAATAAGACAACATGAATTTTGTTCCCTCACCAGAATTCTAACTTTTAAAACTTGTTTGAGAGGTAGAGATATCAGATGGCTCACACCATTTCTCTATTCATAAATGTCCACAATGGCCTGGACTGAGCCAGGCAGAAGCTGAGAGACCCAGAAACTCAATCCAGGAGCCAGCAGCTGTAGCACAATGGATTAAGCCATCACTTCTGATGTCAGTATTCCATTTCAGAGTATCTAAGTATCATTAAGTATCAGCTATTCTGCTAATTCAGCTCTCTGCTAATATGCCTGGGAAAAATAGCAGAAGACGGTCCAAGCACTTGGGCTCCCACACCCATATGGAAAACCTGGAAGGAGTTTTCCAGGCTCCTGGATCCTGGCACCAACCTGGCCCAGACCTGGCTCCTGTGGCCATTTGAGGAGAGACCCAATGGATGGAAGGTTTTCTCTCTCTCTGGCCATTTGGGGAGTGAGTCAGTCAATGGAAGTGTCTCTCTTTCTGCCTTTCAAAAGAAAGAGAGAAACCTGAGCCATCAATACTATCTCCCAAGGCATACATTATTATCAGGCAGATGGAGTAAGCAAGCAAGAGGTTCGTACCAATCCCAGCTGCTCCAGTATGGATATGGGCATCTTAACCATCAGGTGAAAAGCCCGCCTCTACCATAATTTGAGACACTAAAATTTAGATTCTATGTCCAAGATGCTACAACAATAAGAAAACTGAATAATAAAATACACAAAGGATGATCTATTAAAATTACAATATATCTAATGACATATAAATAATTTTGCCACATTATCAAATTTTCGAAAGCTGCAAACCAGGGGTGTCATGTGATATTAGGTGAAGCTGCCACCTGCAACACCAGCATTCCACATTGGTGGTTTATGTCTTGTTCCTGATTCAGCTCTCTTGGTGTGGCTTGGGAAAAGCAGTAGAAAACGGCCCAAGTATCTGCTATCATGCAGGAGACCTAGATGAAGCTTCTGACTCCTGGCGTTGGCTTGCCTGAGCACTGGCCGATATGTCCATCTGGGAAGTTAACCAGCAGATGGAAGATACCGTTCTTGCTTTCTCTCCTCTCTTTTTCAAAATTGTATGCAGTGTTATGTAGCATAAAAATAACAGATGGACTACACTAAAATTTTATAATAATTAAACTTAGTGGCATTATTTTTTTTTTACTTTTTATACTCATATTTTACTAATTTTTCAGCAATAAACATGCCTTCTTTCTATATTTAAAAGTTCTTTGGTGCAACCAAAATGTCCCTCTGCATAACACTTGTTAAAACATGCACTGTGGGTGGGTGTTTGGTCTCAGTCAAGGCACCCTCATCCCATAGTGCAGTAACTGGGTTCAAGTCCCAGCTCTGGCCTCTGATTTTAGCTAACGCTGACTCTGGTCCTGCCACCCACACCAGAGACCTGGGTTGAGTCTCCAGCTGCTGCCTGGTCAAGCCCGGACACTACAGACTTCTTAGAACCAGATCAGCGAACTAGAGCGAGCGGAGTGCCCCTCTCTGCCTCTCAAACAAAACCACTGCTGGGCCCAGCGCATAGCCTAGCGGCAAAGTCCTCGCCTTGTATGTGCTGGGATCCTACATGGGTGCCAGTTCATGTCCCAGTTGCTCTACTTCCCATCCAGCTCCCTGCTTGTGACCTGGAAAAAAGCAAAGAACAGTCCTTGGGACCCTGCACCTGCGTGGGAGACTCAGAGGAGGTTTCATATCAGCATAGCTGCTGCCGTGCGACCACTTGGCAAGTGAATCAGTGGACAAAAAAATCTTTGTCCTCCTTCTCTCTGTGGACCTGTCTTTCCAATAAAAATAAATCTTAAAAAAAAAGCTATTATTATATCTTATTGCTCTCCGCCTCCTTTCAAATAAAAGTAAATTTTAAAAAATTTAAAGGTAAAATACAAATATTGTAAACAAATCGATACGCAAAAAAGCAAGCCTAACAGATGAACTTCTGAAAAGGATAAAGTATGAAAAAGAATTGCAGAGGCACCATTAAACACAAGAAAAAATTTTTCATTTCTTTCTATGTTCCTGGCAAGTATAAGATGTCCTTGTAAGTACACATCAGAAAGACAGTTCAACTAAATTACCATAATACATTTTACTTTCCACTGAATTAAACCAAATTAATATCAACTTGAAAAGCATTCCTGGAGGAATTTAATGTATCATCATAATACAGATACATGTACAAAAGATACCCTTTTTAAAAAGTTATTTATCACCCCTGGCCAAATACATTTATTACTAGCTCTTACTTTGAAATGTGAAGGAACAATTCAGCAATAAGCGCTAAAATCTGGGTGGAGGGGGGAGCTTGTTAACTAAACAAAATTGGCTAAGAATATCTTTATAGTTTCAGAAGCTATGATTATGCTGTCCAATTTTTGGCAATTCAACAATAAAGTCATCTCTTCAAGAGGTTCTGAAGCACTGGCACTTGAGAACTGCTCAGGAAGTGTAGCTAACAGCCCTGGCGCTAGATCTCACCTGCTGAATTCAAACTTCAGGGAGCAAATAATCTTGTCCTTTCAAAGAAAATAGCAAGGTAGATTGGGCTTAACAAAATCTTTCTCTACAAAGTTGCAAACCGTTCTAATAACAATGAATGAAGTTGCAAAATATTCTAATCATTTCATAACCCCTATCTGTTCATTTATCCATTCTTCTACTCCATAGCAATGTCCAAACATTGATAAATTCCAACCAAATCACATATGCACTATAAAGTACAGGCCAGAGCACCTGTGCCTGTTCAGACAAAGACATCCAATTGCTGAAGAAAACAGACAGCAGATGTGACCCCTGGTATTTACCCATTAAAAACAATGTATCCTAAAAATAAATTTCCATGTCAACAGAACAAAGCTGTTTATAAATAAGAAGGAATGTGGAGGTGTGTAAAAGAGGAAACTTAAGCCAGTACCAAAAGCTGGGAACAAGGCAGAATGAATGGTAACTAAGGGACAAAGAAACACTAGGAAATGGGAGAGAAGCGCTTTCTCCTTAGACTCTAACCAAGTCAGAAAACAAAACAACAACGGACAGATGTTAGAGGAGACCTATCTAAGCAGAAACGCAAACTGGAAAGCAGACCAGCTTTAAGAAGATGGGGGGGAGGGGAAGGGAATGATAAAATAGCTCCAGTGATGGTACAAAACACAGTTGGGAATTACATGCAGATGATTTAAAAAGGTGGAAAATGGCAGGAATTTGGGGCAGTGGTTCAAACACCACTTGACTCCTAAAACTAGAGTGCATGGGTTCAAGCAGCAGCTCTGTCCCCTACACACCCTCCGAGGCAGCAGGTGCCGCGTTACGGTTCCTGCCACCCACACGCGCGACCAGGCTGAGTTCTTGGCTCCTGGCTTCACCTGGCCCCGACATGACTGTTCGCAACACTGGCAGTGTGAATCAGCAGAGGAATGGTCTCTCTCTGCCTTCCAAATGAATCTAAATAAATTTAAAAACACTTCAAAGGATAAAAAGCAGTGTAAACAAACTAACACTCAACTGAGCAAGTCTATCATATGAATTTCCCAAGATGCCGAAGCATGAACCAGAACTGCATCAACAGAAAAAAAAAGAATGAGACAAAATGAGAACCGGGACACAGGACTTACACACGAGCAAAGCAACAAAACTTTGAACAAAGTCGTCAGAATAAACATTAGCCAAGAATTGTGAGGCAGTCATACCATATATTCTTATTTGTAAAGTGTAACAAAGTGTACCATTTTACACAAAACCAAATACTAAACAACGTATGTAAATAAAGCAATTTGACAAGGTATTAGAAGGCTTAATACTACAAAAACATGCTGAGAGGAGAAACGACTAAAACCAAGAAAAAGTGAAAGGAAAAAATAGGACAAAAAGGAGGACAACACAAAGAAACCAATCAAAGCTATAAAGGTTGGGGGTTGGGGGTGCGTTGCAGGAATAAAGACCTGTGAAGGCACAATGGAAGACTAGCCCAAAAGCGCCAGGAGCGCAATTGCAGAAAGACCCAAGGGAAACCTGATAGAATCTTGACAGCTTCGGGGTTCAGAAAGTAAAGAACTCCGAAGTGTCCAGAAGCACTTTGGAGAGAAGCCACAGGCAAGGCTCGGCAGTGAGGGCTACAAGGAGAGGGGCTCAGGACTAGCAGGGCAAGAGAAGGGCAAAAAGGCTCCGAGACGAAAGCAGAGCAGGTCCGACACCTGGATAACGAACGGAGCGGCAGACGGGAATGGGATTGGCGTTCAAACCTTAGGAACGCTGGACCAGATGGAGGCATGGGAAAGGTAGCGCGAACCGGAAAGATTTACGGCCGAAAAAGTAAAGACCAAATCAAAACGCATCCTCTGTACACATAAAACAAGAGAAATCACCAAACAGGTAGAAAAGTGGAAGGGGCTAGGGTGGGGGCAGCGATCTGAAAAAAAGGGGGGTCAACCAGGGAAAAGATGATGCATCCCATCACCCTCAGAACCAGAATTACACACGGTAGTAACAGGGGCCGGTGGTCCCGGCCCGGCTACTAGCCCACCTCCAGTCCACACCTGACCCCCTCCCGATACTCACATCCAAAACATCTAAGAGATGCAGGACTGGACGGCTCGCCCAGTCGTGACCTTCTCGGACCAACCCCGAGTTTCGCCCCCTATTGATAGCCTCCCGCTCAAGCACCGTTGCCCGGCGCCCCAAAACCCGGCTGGGGGCCAGGGAAACCCCCTGGGCCATAGTGTGTGTTTACGTAGCGAGGAGCGGCGTGACGGAGAGGGACGCGGGGGCGATGCCCACCTCCCACCCCGCGAAGCTGACAGGAGAAGGTGGCCGAGGGCACCCCCTGTACCCCCTCCGCCGCCTCTTGGCCCCTAAAATAAACACCAGTCAGCCGATCGCGGACGCGGCAGGGACAAGGCGGGGGGGTGACGCGGACACTCACCTCCTCGGGAATGGCAGGGTCCGCAGCCGAAGAGGCCGCGGCGCCGGCGCCGGCCTCGGACTCCATGTCCCCGTTGAACAGAGCCTGGCCCTGCTCCGCGCCGCCGCCGCCGCTCAGCGCCGCCATCTTATAACCGAGAGCCGGGGCCCGAGCGGCCGCGGCTGGGCGGGGAGGGGGAAGGGAGGCGGAGGGCGGGAGGAGGCGGGGGCGGAGGCGCGGGGGGCGCGGGGAGGGGCGGCCGGGGCGGCGCGGCGGGCGGGAGGGCGCCGGGGCCAGCTCAGGTACGGGCCTGCGGCCCCGGGCGCAGCCGAGCCGGAGGGGATTGGGGGGAAGGACGCTGGGCGGGAGGGCGGGGGAAGGGGGCGGAGACGACGAGGAGTCGCCGCGGCAACGGCGTCACCCGCGTGTCACGGTTGTGACGTCACCCGGGGCTGTGTGACGTAACCGAGGAGCGCCGTCGTCGGAGAAGGTTCGTTGGCCTCCGACCACCCTCGGGCTGGCGCGTTTCCTCCGCTCGGCGGTTTCCATGGCTGCGGCTTCCTCCTTTTGGGCTCTCCGCCTCAGTCCTCAGTGCGTTGTGTTAAAGTAGGGTTTACTACAAGAGCAGGGTGCTGTTGGAGAAGTTGAAATCCTAGAGGGAGGAAGGTGGGGAAACCCGTGCCACTTGTCTTTGTCGTCACAGTGTCTCTGTGTCCAGAAAATAAGACTTAAAACTCAAGGTTGGAACATTCGAACAGAACTCCGTAGAAATAGATTTAGCAACAGCCAAATTATCAGTACGGTGCTTGTACCCTTTCCTTAAAGGTTTTGGCCATTAGTGTCTGAATGGGGGTTTAAAAGCTTTTCTTTCATCGATGAGAAATAAAATGTTTTCTAACTGTGTTTTCCATTTTCTGGATTCATTCATTTAACAAATAATGGTGAGTACTCTCAGTGCTATGTGAAGGCACATAGCATTCTAAACGTCTGAAGCCTCAGAACGCATTTTTATTTTGAGGAAAACTACTCAAAATATTTTATGTACTTTGTGCCGTTCATCAACAGGATATTCCAGAACATTCTTTGTATAATCTAAACATGAAAGCAACTGGGGGATGCAGATTCTCTTTGAGAAGCTCAGTCGCAGAAAGGAATTAAAACTATTTCACTGTTAAAAACTGGATTATTGAAAAGGGGACTGAGCTGAACAGGAAAGCAGGAGTGGGACAGACTCCAGAAATGACTGTGGGCTGCCCATGGTGTGCTGTTCATCCCCAAAGCAACCTAACTATGACGTCATTGAGTGAGTCCTGCAGCCTTGTGCTTGCTTTTTTGAGGAGTGGTCGGTCATCAGTGACCTGTAAGCATTTTGGATGATTCAAAAAAATCAAGCAGTCCTGACGTCTGTAACAGGATGTTTGTGTGTCGACCCCACGTCCGTGATCCCGGGAGCTGGGAATGATGGAGTGAGAAGTTATGTGTGATGTTACTTAATCAAATCCGAGTGCTAGCATCCCACCATGTTCAAAAAACAAAAAAACGGAGCCTCTCAAATGAGCCTTCTCGGCATTATCAGCTTCATTGTACGGTCCAAGTAGGAAAGTTGCCCTTGGGGACGAAAGTGAGAGGAGTGAGAGGTAGCTTGGCTAATGTAGCGTGATCAACAGTGAGCATAAGGAGTTACCCTGTCGAGCTCTTCTGAGTGGTCTGACACACTCGTCCTCACCCTCAGGACATGCGTGTAAATAGACTGAATGCCAGCCACCAGTCACAGCGCTGTCTCCCTGGTCAGAAACTCCCTGGCAGGGTTTCTCTTTTTGTTTTTTGAATTGTTCTCCCATCCAAGTACTAACCAGGCCTAACCCTGCTTAGCTTCCAAGATCAGATAAAATCAGGTGCGTTTAGGGTGGTGGCCGTAGACTGTTTTTTAAATTGTTCTTTGTCTTTTTTTTCTTTTTATAGCTTAGTCCCTTAAAATATCATCATAATACTTGCCTGTATCAAAAGTTCCAAGATGTTCTTCTTATTGATTTCATTTTAAACAATAGCTTTATTAGCATCAATCTATAGATCAATTACATCTTACATAATTCTCCATAGGATGACTAACTCCTTCATTTAATATTGATTTTAGTTAGCTTCCATTTATCCAGCATTTTTCTACCTTATATTTAATATATCTACTGCTGAAATAAGTACCCTACCTTAAGTTTAAATTCTGTACATAAGGCCTGGTGCGGCAGCCTAGTGGCTAAAGTCCTTGCCTTACATAAGCTGGGATCCCAAATGGGCGCTAGTTTATATCTATGCTGCTACATTCCACTTCTAACTCGCTGCCTGTGGCCTTGGAAGACAGTACAGGACAGCTTAAAGCCTTGGGCCCCTGCAACTGCATGGGAGACCCAGAAGAAGCTCCTGGCTTCAGATTGGCTCAGTTCTGGCTGTTGGGGCCATTTAGAGAATGAACCAGCAGATGGAAGATTTTTTCTCTTTGTCTCTCCTTCTGTCTGTAAATCTGACTTTCCAATAAAAATTTTTTTTTAATATTTTTAAAAACAAATCCTGTATGTATCTTGTTTCATTTCCTTAGACTGTCTGGAGTGCCACAGTATCCAGGTGAGAAACAACAGGAAAAGCATGAACTCGGCAGTCCAGAGATGGAGATTTTCGTGTCAGCATGCCCCATCTTGACGAGATCATCTTACAGCAGGTAAACTTCAATCCCTATTTGTTTTGTTTCTCAAACCGTGAAATAGGGTAATAATACTGTCAATCAAATTTGCATAGTTGTGTCATGCTGAAAATCAAACATTATAATTTTGTCCTTTGCCAAGTATAAAATTTCTCAGTCAGACTGTAGACAAGGCATAGCAAAGATGGCTTATTTCTGTCCCATGATGTCGGTCGGCGGCAGGGGGACCCTCCACTGAGAAGACCCAGTACCTGGTCGGGTAACTTAGTGGTAAGGTTCTGGAATCCTTGGCAGGGGGATAGGGGTGATATTTACTGACAAGACTAGTGGTTGAAGCTTGGAGCTCAGGTACCACAGTCAGTCAGAATACCTAAACACGTTCTCCTTTGTGGCTGAGCTTCTTGCTGAGCTGCCTCAGAGAACAGGCTCCCGGTAGGGCAGCTCAGCACTTCAAATGCTAGTGTTCCAAGAATCAAGGTGATCGTGGCCCACCTTTTATTATTAGTGTCCAAAGATGCACGGCTATATTCCTGCTGCATTTTACTGAAAACAGGTGAGACACTAAATCCAGCTCAGATTCAAGGAGAGGGTCTATAGAACCCACCTCTTGCTGGTACATGAGAACTGGGTCTACAGAACCCAGTTAGAGGTAGGTTCGGTTGACCCTTGAGTCAAAGAACTTACATGCTTTAACACTAACTAGCACAAGATGTTTATAAGAATGAATTGTTTGTGCTACAGAACTCAGTAACACTTCTGCCCAAGGGATTCTATGTCCAGTCAAATTACCTTCCCTTTATTCCAGGGATTCACCAGCAGGACCTCATTATACTAATGAACAATACATTACCTTCTTTTTTTCATTTTCCGAGGCCTCTGCTTTATGCAAAAATAGAGGCAGGTCCTTTGCTTCTGATCACAGTCTGTAGTTCTAAGTAGTTATCTCCAAATTCAAATGCTGCCATGGACTGTGTTGATATGTTGAAACCCTCTATACAGAAATGTGTTCCTGCAGCCTGTAATGAACCAAACCAGTTTGTGTTTGGGGCAGAAACAAAACACCTGCCCTTTGTCCTGTGGCGTGCCATGTGGGTATCAAAGTGGTATTACCTTGCATTCTAAAGTCATGCTGACATTTGAGTCTACACAATTCCTTTGGGTTTTGCTCACAATCCCCTTGTCCCCTAAGGCACTCATGAAATCACGGGAAACTGGAAAACCAAACCAGGTAAGAAGCACTACTCAGAGCTGTCGCTCCAGTGGATGACTGAGACGCTGTTAAGAGCGTTACTGCTGTGTCTGACCTTCTCCTTAGGGATGAGTTGGTTTCCAACCAGCATTTCTGCCTGGACTCCTGCATTCTAATAGACACTGGATAGTTCCAGAAGTATAGACTTGCTCAGCCAGGTCTGATGCCAGATGAATAAGGTCAGCTCCTAGAAAATAATCAGACAGCCTCTAGGAAGCTTCTAAGGTTCCAACTGGCTTCAATACATGTAGCTCATCACAGTTGAATGTTTTCGTTATAAAACAATGTCATCATTATGCTGGACACTCCCTGTATTGTTTAGTAAAATGCTACTCTCAGAAATTGGGGGGGTGGTGGTTGACAGGTGGGTGGTTGGCACACTGGGTAAGACTCCCTCTGGAGGCACATCCTCTATAAGGTACCTGGGTTCAGCTATTGGCTGATGCACACTTTGGGAGGCAGCAGGTGATATAGCTCAAGTCCTCGGGCTTCTGCCACTTGTGCGGGAGATACAGAGTTCTAAGCATGTGGCTTCAACCTGAGCCAGCCTTGGGGAATGAAACAGTAGGTGAATATCGTCCTGTCTGTGTGTCTGTCTCCTTTCAAAGAAAACCAAAAAAAATAAATTTATAAGAACTTCAAAAAGAAAATCTATCTGGGAATAAATGAAAATAAACCATAGAATTGATTCAGCATAACTATCCTATTGAGAGATGTTTGGAATCCTGTTGATGGGATTAAAGATTCTGTCCAAGTACTTTGATGATTGAGACTTCACTAATTTGCTTTTGTTTGTTTCTAAAGTTGAAGTGTAATTTCAACTCTGTTTCTAAAGTTGAAATGAATTCTTTATGATATCTGGTCTCTGGTCTAAGCTTTGCCTTCTAGAAAAAATAACAGCATAGATCTACTTCTTATTCTATATAATTGCTTTCAAGTATTTGAAGGGAATTCTGTTTGCTTTAGTTCTCTGCTCAAAGCATCTTCTCTCCTGTGTTCTCTTTCCTTTTTTTTTCTCTCTCATAATGACCATCAGGATTGCTCCAGAAACCCCTAAAAACAAACTAACAAATTAACAAACAAAAAAACCTAGAATAGATGGAGAACAGCAAGGAAAGCTTACAAACAGGAAATGGGCAGTGGGGATGCACTTATAACTCACTGGGAGGGACACGAAGATTGGTTGCTCCTCACTAGAGTATTGGGGATTTCTCTGCACACCCCTCCTAAAACCATTCACCTAAACTGTTGACATATGTCTTGTTACAGTTATAGAGTTAGACTACCCAAAAAACCGCCAGGTTCTGCAAAACCATGCTTCAACACTATGAACTGCTAAATACTAAAATTAAAATAGACATGAGACAGCTGAATAGTAATCTATAGCCATTTTAAGGTGTATAGAACCC